TGATGTGACGATGCGCCCACTGACCTGATAGCCGGTGAACTTCACTCCGGGGTTGTTCTCAATCTCCCACAGGCCCTCGTTGAATCCTTTCCTCTTGTTGGATTTGCCAAATTTGTCTTTGTACTCCTTGTAGGGAAGAAGATCCTTTGGACCCAAGAATGCACTGAAAAAGACGCAGAAGAAGAAGCGGACAGGTTTACTTCTGTTATCATAATTAAAAACACCCAGAGCAGCTTTACTGAATGATCTGAAGTTCATTGATGAACATGTGGCGTTTTCACGAGGCTCTGAGGAGACGATCTGGACGGCTCCATCGCCGGTCGGTGATATTTTTGATAATTTAGTGAAAACGAAGCTCCATAAATATTTGACTTGTAAAGTGTGACGGCTGAATATGACCACACGGTGGAGCCTGCTCCCTCTTTTGATCCTCGTCTCCTTCCTGACTCCAGCCGGACTGTTATTTACAAAACAAACGCCAAGATTCATTCTTTATTTCTCAGACTTCTGAGGAGGCGCCCCCTGCTGGACACCAGAGACAATGCTATGTCCATCTTTTATATACAGTGTGTGTGATCATGTGTGATGAGCAGGGCTGATCTTACTGGACGAGAGCATGGATGGCACCAGACTGAAAGTAACTAAGTACATGTACTTGAGTACTTTTTGTTTCTGTGTTTAAATGTTGATCTTTTAACTCTTTCAGTTCCTTCCCACTGTGTGGCTATTAAGCATAAATCTCCTAATATTTTTATTGCCATTGTAACAAGAACAACGAAATATTGAAAATAAACAAAAACATCTGTATATGTGTTTACAGATGAAGCTACGCAGCAGTATAAAGCCAGTCTGTGTTACCTGTAAGGTCTGTGCATCATGTTGATATGTTTTCATGCTCTATATAATTATATTCTTGTATTATTTTTATTATATGCTGCAGTAAATAAACACAGACTTTAAAAACTTTCTCAGCTGGAGTTTTATTAAAGTTCTGGTGGTTTTGTTTTGAGGAAAGGTCAAAATTCCTGCAGAAACCCCCCAGCATGTAAATAATTCAAATCATCTACAACTGGAACGTTAAAGCGAGACAAACGCCAATGAATCGATAAATCTGCTAATATCATGGATATGAGTGTACACATATTTTAACTCCTGTGCAGCCGATTTCCACGGATCGCCCTCCGTAGGAGGCCAAACATGAGTTGGATTTATTTCGGATCAAATATCGTGATCCCCGGCCCGTGGACCCGAGCGCTGCAGCTGCTGCTCGCCTCGTAAACACAAGTTGAAAAATAAAAAGGTGCGTACGTTTCGTGGGTCCCGAAGAAGAAGATGGGGTATTTGTTGGCAGGTGGCTTGACGGCTCCTTCAGGAAGCTCATCAATCTGAAGCAGAGAGAGAAAGTGAATATTTATCAGAGCGATAACCAACCGAGGTCACAGAAGCCTGGAGCGAGGTCAGCGTGTTGGAGGAGGTAGGATGAAAACAACAAACTTTATTTATAAAGCAGCGTAACAGTTACAGAAGCATCGTTTCTATCTTTGAGGATTTTTAACACATTCATGAGTTTCAATGAAGAAATTTCTCTTACAGGAAACAGAACAGACACGAAACAGAGATAAAAACAAAACGAACATTTGGTTGGACGAATGAAGCAAGGCGCTGAAACTACTCATGTTTCATTAGAGGAGTTTCA